GTTATGTCACATCATCCTTATTCACAAAAATGTGGCTAGGAAGTGACTAGCACGTGGAGACATAGTAAACAGATAAGTTATGTTGCGTTTTAGTTTTCACCACCCTATAATACCGGGGTCATTCTGTAGAAATGTACTTCAATACTTCTTTTTGAATTCATTAAAGTTTAAATTATAAGTATTCTCTATGATTTTCTGCTGTCATGAATTAAAATTTATTTTTGGACATATATTTTGCATGGAAACCGGGACTATATTTTTTTGGCGTCAGATTAGCAAATGAGGCAGCAATGTGACTTTAACTGACAAATCAGATGAATGAGAATTGCATTATGGGTTACTATAAGAATACTACAGGAATTTTACGCTTGATAAATTCCTTTATTGTACTATCGGTGAATAAAATTGTCATATGGATTCCCTGGCCAACACACGTAATCACGATCGAGTATAGTTATGTAAAAAAATGTTTTGTCCATTTAAATACATACGAGAAGCTGCTCGTTTTCCTTACCCTTGAAGTGCTTGCGTTCTGAACTTGACACTAACCACGTATACATTTTATTAAACATATTTTTCTCTAGTTAATAACAAATTAAAAACGCCCGTGATATCTTTCATAGTTTCTAATGTTTGCATTTTGTTCATAGGAACATTTTTTGAGCACTCTATTGACATGATCATAGATTGACCTGAACCACGTGCTCGAAGTATAATAACATGTAAACACGTATTTGGCGTAAACGTATTCAATCAACAATTGGTCAGCTGCTCGTGGTAAGATCCCCTGTGCGCATTAATAGAAATAGCCATATAAGGCAAACAAAGGTTTGCCAGTGTAGATGATATTTCACATTTTTTTTACCAGCGTATCGTGTCGCTAGTGAGCTGTAATTTTTTCAGTAAACTTTGATAAGATGTATCTATTGTTATTTACCCCCCCCCCCCCTTCCTTAAACCACACATTTCTGTTGAAAATCATGAAAGTCTTTCAGAAAGGTGTGGAAACACATTTTTCATAGGGCATGTTTTCAGAAGAAACAGACTATAGCAATTTCCTGTTTACTGCTAACTTTATTTATAAAACCGGTTCTAACCTATAACCTTTGAATAGGTAAACCCAATCCTCGTGTCTTGAATTTAAATCACAATAACATTAGTAGGGGTGATTGACATGATCATAGATTGACCTGAACCACGTGTTCGAAGTAACACGTAAACATGTATTTGGCTTAAACGTATTCAAACAACAATTAAATGGTCAGTTGTCGTGGTAAGATCCTCTGTGCACATTAATAGCAATAGCCATATAAGGCAAACGAAGGTTTGTCCGTGTTTCTGTTGAAAATCATGAAAGTCTTTCAGAAAGGTGTGGCAACACATTTTTCACAGGTCATGTTTTCAGAAGAAACAGACTATAGCAATTTCCTGTTTACTGCTAATTTTATTTCTAAAACCGGATCTACCCTATAACCTTTGAATAGGTTAACCTAAACCACGTGTCTTGAATTTAAATCACAATAACATTAGTAGGGGTGTGAAAATGTTCTTGTTAGATGACCTGTGCAGTTCAGGAATAGCTAATGCTTTAGATGACGTCATTGCATTACATTCAGAAGTGATGCTGTGCTGCTGATGTCACACGTAGTCTACAATATTTTTGCGAACATTGGGTGTTCGATGTTAATGGTTTATGTTTTATAATATACGGCGCTGTGCATAACATTTAAACCTCTTGCAATAGTAGATTGCGGTACCCCTGCTTCCAGTTGCCCATTTTCCTTTTTGTGCTTTGCAACATTCAGATGCAGCATTTTTAGGAAACATTATTTTTCAGATAAAACCAGATTCAAAACATCGAGAACCCCCGCTTTTGATAGCCCCTTTGTACCTGAAGGAATTGTATCAGAATTCAACAAATGAAAATTGAGATCAAAATTTTGGGGGAAATTTTGCAAAATCAGGTCTTTTTGTCTGTGAGACTTGTAGAATAGCTGCAAAGTTCACAACTGCATTAAAAAATCACGCATTTCACTCAAATACATCATATCCATATAAAAACAAAAGGTATGACAAACTATCAAACATTTTTCAGGGCATTGTTCCTACTATGCGTTTCTTTTTTTTGAGGAGTATATATAAGTGCTTTCTATATCATTTCCCATGAACAAACATTTTCTTCCTATCTTTAATTTTGTTTCCGATAGGAGCATGTAATAATACTTTGAAGTGGTTTATTATGTAATTGAGTGATCTTTCCCAGGAATTTGAAAAAAGAATTTCCTGCAAGTCTCACCATTTTTAAGATCCTTTAGGATATTTTTCAGTTACTCCAGGACTTTTTTTCTCATTTTTTTCCTGCCAGAAATACATAAAATCTGAGGGTATAAACAATATTTTATCTTTAGCACGTCCTAGCAACAAATATTTTGATCCTATTTTTGAAAATGGATGTATTAGTCCAATAATAAAAAAATGACTATTCCAGTAACTTAGGTTATTGAAATATTTTTCAGAGGAGCATGTATTAATGTTTTGGGGTTGTTCAATTTGATTAAGTTATATCCAGCAGGAATTAGGCAAAGACTTTCTTGAGTCTTATAAGGGTACTTATTTGAGTGCATTTCAATAACAAACATAGGTTGCAACCACTACTGTTCACTACTGAAATAAAGTTTTCAATAGTGATTGAAATACTGATTTCAAAAGTGATTCAAATAATTATTTTGATAGTTGCTGATAATTAACCCAATGATGAGGTGATGCCTTGGGTGTTGTTGGTCATCAACTTTGTTTTTCTCCATTGATTTCCATGCCATATGCAGAGGCTGCTAGGTATATCAAGTTAATTCATCAAGCAGGTAAGCTCATCCTTCTTCCTTCGGCCATCTTTGTCATAAGCTAATCAGAGATTTTTAATGGTTCTTCCTCTATAGAGACTACTTTTGTGATCGTTATGAACATCTATAATCCTTTCAAAGAAGACATTAAAGAGGATGGTGGATAGCTGACAGGCCTGGCGTAATCCTAACATAGTGCAAAACCAGTCTTTAATGCTGTTTTGAAGAGAACTTGTGGCCTTGTAGTATATTGAGGTTTCATCAGTTTTCGTTAGCATCAATTTTCAAGGATTTTGTAAAACAGACATTTTTGAGGATACGTAATTTCATGGACAAAAGCCTTGCCTATGCAAATGAATAACATATTTCTCAATTCAATGAACATTTAAATTCATGGATCTGCTCAACAATGAAATCCTCGATAACTGGTGCTCAACAAATATTAATAAAACCACAGTAACTCTTCACTTTCCATGATGCTCCAGATAGTTTTTTTTAATTTGAAAGTGGATTTACTCTCTGAATTTCAAATCAATGCAGATTTTGATGTCCAGTAAAATTAATTCAGAGTATTTTGTTAATAAAGGTGTTTTAGAAGAAGAAAAAAGTACAAAGGTCAGTTTCTGCATTTATATTTAAATAAATTTTGAAAATATCAACAAGGCTGACTACAACTGAGAAACATTCTTTTTTGACAAGGAGGATCATACAGTAGGTAAAGTTACCGCTGGCACTTTAAACTTATCCTCCATTTAAGATGATATTATAACAAGAGAAATTGAGAGAAAAAATCTTTAATAATATGGTAAGTTGACAGAAATCAGAAATTGGCAATAAACTCATGAAAAAAGTATGTACACAGGGATTTATCAAGGCTGTTTTTACTACCGGTAAACAGTACCTTTCCCCTCTTGAAAAAGGTGCAAAAATTCCCCTTTTTCAGATAGAAAATTCTCCGATTAAACGGAGAATTTTAAAACATCGTTCTGAAATTTTCCGTTTTTGTCCGATTGAAGTTTTACAGCTAATTTACCATCCTAGTCATTCAAACGCTTTTAAAAGAAAGAATATATTATTCAAGCTTTTATTTGATATTGATCGGTAAACATGTGCCAAGTCCATGATGTCGAAAGATAGGCGTGCGATTGTAGAGTTAAAAAGAAAAGTGTAGATGAGTAAGATGGAGCTTATATCACTATGAATCGGAAGAATGGAGTAACAACAAAAACAATGTTAGTAGTGAAACATGAAAAACAGAATTGATTTGTGATAGATATTTAGAGAAAAAATTAAATAAAGTCCTGACCTGGTTAAATTTTTTGTGTGTGTGTTATTTAGTATTTTGCCTAAAAAGGGAAGTTTTTGTGGTCTTTGTAAAGGTCTACAAATGACCCTCAGAAGCTCTAAGAATGCAGGATTTTGCTCCATTTATTTAAAAATTTTCCGGGGGGGCATGCCCCACGGACCCCATTAAATACTCGCGCCTCCGGCGCTCAGATTGAGCCTGCGGCTCTCTCGTTCCCCTTTACATATAAAACGGTAGTAAAACAAAATAGCTAGATAAATCCCTGGTACAAACCGTGTGTAAGTGGCTTACTAAACAGAGAACTCTAGAGAATTTAAGACAACTCTTGGTCAATAAATTAAGAATTTTAAACATAAAATGAGAAGTGAATTTTAATCTAAATCTTTGATTCTTTCTCACGGAAATCCTCCTCGCCATTACTAGTGAGAATATTCCTGGTCATTAAAATGCTTTGAAATCAGTATTTTGTTTTGAGAAAAATCAAACACCGAGTTAACCTCAATTCATATCATTAGCTAAGTTGTACTTGTATTCCACAAACCACCGCACGCACATTGTATGCAGTACTTTTGTGGTGTATTACTTAATATCTATTATTGCTAATGCATAACTGTATGCCCAGTTTTAATTTCCAATGCGTATTTTGTAAAATTCAATGCTTATTTCTGCAGATTCACACTTTATCTGGAGCTCTGTACATGTACTGAACTTTGGTCAAAATTTGGCCAGTGGTTCAGGAAAATGTAAAAGTTTACAGACAGACGGACACACAGACAGCTAGATCGACAGATGGAAAACAAGTGATCAGAAATCTCACTTGACCTATATAAAGTGGTCTAAAGAAGAAGAAGAAAAACTTCAAGTTTGCTTTATTACTATGGAGAGAATATCTACAAACACAACACTGTTAACAATGTCTACATGTGTTTGTGAGTATAAGGGTGTGTGTGTGAGTGTGTGCGATAAATAGATATTATCCTATTTTGGATGGTTTAAGGATCATGTCCTGCATAAAACTTTCCTAAGAAATCAGTGGGTCTTGGGTTATGTGTGTCTTTGAAGTATTTCATCAAGTGAGTTTTCTGACTAAAGTCCTCCACAGCATCTAAGAGTGCCAGTTGACCCTGTAAAATACAAGAGGTCCATGGGCCACATCGCTCATCTGAGCACTGTGGCAATGATAAAAGCAAAAATCTATATCCATTTTTGAAAGCATGTGGTCCCAACCTATTAAATGTGAAGGGAGGATGATTTGAATTAACTTGAATCAACAAAAGGATGCTTACACATTTCTTTGACTTATTATAGCTTTTTTCCATTAAAGTTTTAACTTTTATTTTTCCCCACCCTATCCCCCGGAGTCATTTCAACAAATTGAATCTACACTACCTGAGGATGTTTCCTTATAAATATGACCAATCATGGCTTTGTTGTTCTTGAGAAGGAGATTTTTCAAAATTTTTCTATATATTTCTATGTAAAACTTTGGTCGTCCATTGTGTCCCCATCCTACCCTCAGAGGTCATGATTTGAACAAACTTGAACCTACACTACCTGAGGACGCTTCTGTATAAATACAGGCCTTGAATCGCTCTTCTGATAAATTGTACAATCTATCACTTCTATTTGAAGCCTCTAACTTAAAGTATCCTAAGACCCAAGTTGTATCAACTGACAAAGTTTGATGATTCTTAGCCAATTAGGACTGAAAATATTTTTAATAATAAAGCTATAAAAAACCATAAGTACATCACAGTGACCTATATTAAGATTGAAGTTTTCTGAGGACTCAAGATGCATTAATAAACAAAGATTGAAGATTCTAAGCCAATAAGTATTTGAGATATTTAAAAGTAGGTCACCGTGACCTACTTTTTGTCTACATTCTTTGAAAACCCAAGATACATCAACTGACAAAGTTTGATGATTCTAAGCCAAAAAGTACTTGAGATATTCAAAAGTAGGTCACCATGACCTACTTTTTGATCAACATTCTCTAAAAACCAAAGATGCATCAACAAACAAAGTTTAGTGATTCTAAACCAGTTAGTACCATAGATACTTAAATAAAGCCATAAAATGTAAAAAATTAGGTCACTGTGACCTATTTTTTGGACATCATTCTCCGAAAACCCAAGATGCATCAACTTACAAAGTTTGATGATTCTATGCCAATAAATATCTAAGAATATCTTAAATAAAGCCATATAATGTCAAAAGTAGGTCACTTTGACCTACTTTTTGGTCGTCACTCTCCAAAAAACCTAAGACGCATCAACTCAAAGTTTGATGATTCTAAGCCAATAAATACCTAAGATACTTAAAATAAAGCCATAAAATATCAAAGGTAGGTCACTGTGACCTACTTTTTGGTCATCACTCTCCGAAAACCCAAGACGCATCAACTCACAAAGTTTGATGATTCTAAGCCAATAAATACCTAAGATACTTAAATAAAGCCATAAGATGTCAAAAATTAAGTCACCATGACCTCTTTTTTTGGACATCATTCTTGAGAAAACCTAAGATGCATAAGCTTACAAAGTTTGATGATTCTAAGCCAATAAGTACCGTAGTAATACTTAAATAAAGCCATAAAATGTCAAAAGTAGGTCACCGGTGACCAGCTTTTTGGTCGTCACTCTCCAAAAACCTAAGATGCATAAGCTTACAAAGTTTGATGATTCTAAGCCAATAAGTACCGTAGATACTTAAATAAAGCCATAAAATGTAAAAGTGGTCACGTGACCAGCTTTTTGGTCGTCACTCTCCAAAAACCTACACCTAAGACGCATCAACTCACAAAGTTTGATGATTCTAAGCCAATAAATACCTAAAATAAAATACTAAAATATAGCCATAAAATGTCGAAAGTAGGTCACAGTGACCTACTTTTTGGACATCATTCTCCGAAAACCCAAGATGCATCAACATACAAAGTTTGATGATTCTAAGCCAATAAGTACCGTAGATACTTCAATAAAGCCATAAAATGTCAAAAGTAGGTCACCATGACCTACTTTTTGGTCGTCACTCTCCGAAAACCCAAGATGCATCAACTCACAAAGTTTGATGATTCTAAGCCAATAAATACCTAAGATACTAAAATATAGCTATAAAATGTTGAAACTAGGTCATCGTGACCTATATTTTGGTCGACATTTTTTAAAGTCACAAGATGCATCTGCTGACCAAGTTTGATGATCCTAGGTCTGAAGGTAATCAAAATATGCCTTTTAAACAATTTGAAAACAAATGCCTGCAAAATTCAAAAAGTAGGTCACAGTGACCTACTTTTCCATAAATATGTTTTAAGGTCCCAAGATGCATCATTTTACAAGATTTGATGATTCTAAACCTCTCAGTGTCTGAAATAATTGGATTAAATGTTTTAAAAAGAAGTAGTGATAAAGTTCAAAAAGTAGGTCACGGCAACCTACTTTTAAGCTGACGTTGTTCAAGGACCCAAGATGCATCAACTGACAAAGTTTGATGATCATAGGCCTTAAAGTGCCCAAAATATGCCTTCAAATCAACTTGAAAACAAATGCCCACAAAATTTGAAAAGTAGGTCACCGTGACCTACTTTTGAGTTAACATGATGTGAAGTCCTGAGATGCATCAACTTACAAGATTTGATGATCCTAATCCTAATATTAAGCAAAATATAAACGTTTTTATTATTTGTAAATTTAGGTCAACTTTGAAGTGACCTTGAGACCACGCCCTTTGCCCCAGGGTCATGCATTGAACAATTTTTAATCTTCAACATATCCTGATCCTTGTATGTAAGTTTGGTGAAAATCTGCCTGGTGGTTCTGCAGAAGAAGATTTTTTAGCAACCAGTACTTTTGGTTTTGTTTTCCTGATTATCTCCCCTTGTTTAAAAGTCCCAATCTTTATTTTAGTATAAAGGGTAGCCCTTGGGCCAAGGATACCCTGTGACAAATTTGACACTGATTGGCCAAGGGGTTCTTGAGTTATGGCCCATATTCTAACAAAAGGCCCATGGGCCACATCGCTCACCTGAGCACTAATGGTAGGAAAAAGTAGAAAATGGCTTTTTATTGTAAAATTTAAATCAAGTAGTCCGATGATCAATCATGGATTTGCTATTTTTTAGAATATGATTTTTAAAGAATTTTCCTATATATATCTTTAAAAACTTTGGACGGCCATTTTGGCCCCGCCCTACCCCCGGGGGTCATGATTTGAACAAACTTGAATCTACACTACCTGAGCATGCTTCCATATAAATATGATGAATTATGGCTTTGTCATTCTTGAGAAGAAGATTTTTAAAGAATTTTCCTATGTATGTCAATGTAAAACTTTGGTTGGCCATTCTGGCCCCGCCCTACCCCCGAGGGTCATGATTTGAACAAACTTGAATCTACACTACCTGAGCATGCTTCCATATAAATATGATGAATTATGGCTTTGTCATTCTTGAGAAGAAGATTTTTAAAGAATTTTCCTATATATTTCTATGTAAAACTTTGGTCGGCCATTTTGGCCCCGCCCTACCCCCGGGGGTCATGATTTGAACAAAATTGAATCTACACTACCTGAGCATGCTTCCATATATATATGAAATATGATGAATTATGGCTTTGTCATTCTTGAGAAGAAGATTTTTAAAGAATTTTCCTATATATTTCTATGTAAAACTTTGGTTGGCCATTTTGGCCCCGCCCTACCCCCGGGGGTCATGATTTGAACAAACTTGAATCCACACTACCTGAGCATGCTTCCATATAAATATGATGAATTATGGCTTTGTCATTCTTGAGAAGATTTTAAAGAATTTTCCTATATATTTCTATGTAAAACTTTGGTCGGCCATTTTGGCCCCGCCCTACCCCAGGGGGGTCATGATTTGAACAAATTGAATCTACACTACCTAACATCTCCATCTGTGTCTCTGATGAATTATGGCTTTGTCATTCTTGAGAAGAAGATTTTTAAAGAATTTTCCTATATATTTCTATGTAAGATAAGATAAGATAATATTTATTTAAAGTCGGGTACATCAACAAAGAACATTAGCTCTGAAGAGCTATTTTCCGACTACATAATAATGTTACATAAAATACAACAATAAAACATGATAAAGACTAAAAACAGTTTTTAAAAATTACATCGATATCACACTACTAAAATATCACTATTCCTCCGTGGTGCTTTACAATGACATAGTATTCACCACATTGAAACTGACAAACCTAAAATAACTTAAACCCTGTCTACTAGTTTCTAAAAATAAAATTAGCGACAGGCACAGCAATTACAGCAATTTCCGTACCAACTATTTATGTTGGATTTAAACTGGTTAAAAGAAGTAATATTTTTAAAAGATTCTGGTAAAGAATTCCAAAGTTTTGCAGACTCATATCTAAAAGACTTCATAAAAACTTTGGTCGGCCATTTTGACCCCGCCCTACCCCTGGGGGTCATGATTTGAACAAACTTGAATCTACACTACCTGAGCATGCTTCCATATAAATATGATGAATTATGTCATTGTCATTCTTGAGAAAAAGATTTTAAAAGAATTTTCCTATATATTTCTATGTAAAACTTTGGTCGGCCATTTTGGCAGCCCTACCCCCGGGGGTCATGATTTGAACAAACTTGAATCTACACTACCTGAGGATGTTTCCCCATAAGTTTCATCTTTCCTGGCACAGTGGTTCTTAAGAAGAAGATTTTTAAAATATGTCACCAAATTTTCATTAATTCCCAATTATCTCCCCTTGAATTAGGGCGTGGCCCTTCATTTGAACAAACTTGAATCCCCTTCACCCAAGGATACTTTGTGGCAAGTTTGGTTGAAATTGGCCCAGCGGTTCTTAAGAAGAAGTCGAAAATGTGAAAAGTTTACAGACAGACGGACAGACAGACAGACGGACGCCGGACAAAATGTGATCAGAAAAGCTCACTTGAGCTTTCAGCTCAGGTGAGCTAAAAAGTTAATGCACACCGCACAAATGGCCATAGCATTAGCTCTTTGAGCCTTTGGCTCAGAAGAGCTAATAATCAATCATGGCTTTGTTGTTCTTGAGAAGATTTTAAAAGATTTTTTTTTATAATTAGTTCTATGTAAAACTTTGGTCATCCATTG